AAGAAATATTTATACATATCAAGAGCAAAACATGCTGAATTTTCGAAAAATTAAAAAATGTTCTACTTTTTTGTAAGCGAAAGGCGAAGCTTGACTCCGTTTTATTTTCGCTTCAGCACGGAAGTTCTAAGTCAGAGGCTGGCGAAAAAGCTGTCACGGCAAGTGAGTTATTTCGAGCAACGACGGCAATATTTCTCGAAGGCAAATTCTCACGAACGCTTGCAAAATTTACCAAAAATTCGATCGTATTTGACAAAGAAATATGCGTCGGGCTTTGCAGCCATGTGAATTATTAAGGATTTGTCGACAAGATTTAACTCCTCCGAACAGCAGCACGTGAGGTTTCTTTTATGATTTTAAAGACTGATAAATTTCTGATGAAAATTTCAAAGCCGTTGATATTTACCCTTATTTGAAAGCGCATGTAAAGCCACGCTTGGAAGCGCAGACTGCGTTGAATCAGCACTGAAATTCTACATAAATTCAGGGTTGCCGAGCACCCTCCATTAAAATGTACGAAGAAGAAATGACCATACATAGTAGGGAATTAGATCACTTCTGTGCTTTCGTGACTCTTGCTTGCGAACCAGCGAGGATCTGGGCCCAAACGTTACGAAGCATATCCTCGCAGCTTTATATCCTCGCAGCCTTCTATCCCTGCACAATAATACTGATGTAAAAGATAGCAGTTGGTTGAAAGCTAACACACCAATAACGTGTGAGGTATGGACGTTACGTGTTGAAACTACCAGCCACAGGTGAAGCATCTCTTTTATACTTAATGTGATTCATTTGATGGATTCATCTTTATAAAGGCTAGGTTATGAATGTCAGGCTCTTGATGAAGGATAGGTTCTTCATGAAGGCTAGGTTCTTGATGAAGGTTAGGTTCTTGATAAAGGATGGGTTCCTGATGAAGGATAGGTTCTTGATGAAGGAAAGGCTAGGTTCTTGATGAAGGCTAGGTTCTTGATGAAGGCTAGGTTCTTGATGAAGGCTAAGTTCTTGATGAAAGCTGGGCTCTTGATGAAATCTAGGTTCTTGATGAAGGCTAGGTTCTTTATAAAGGTTAAGATCTTTATGAAGGATAGGCTCTTGATGAAAGTCAGGCTCTTGATCAAGACTAGGCTATTGAAGAAGGCAAGTCTTTTGATGAATACCCGGCTGAGGATTAATTCTAGGCTCTTGATGTAAAAGCGCCCGAGGCAATTAGAACATCAAACAATCAACGTATCAAAGTTAACATCAAAACCACGTGTACGACGCTGCAGAAAGAGCAAAGCCAGCTCGCTTCCTCCGTCTTATTCGTTTCGTCGTTTTTACGGAGAATGAACTTAGATCAATAAACTAAATTGCATGGTCTCAATAAACTTACTCTCTGTGAAGTAAACTGCATGGTAAATTAATCAACTTACGATTGTTGGTATAAATTACATGGTAACAATCAACTTACGATTGTTGGTATAAATTACATGGTAACAATCAACTTACGATTGTTGGTATAAATTACGCGGTAACAATCAACAATCGAAAAGAGTAATTGCATAATTACAATCAGCTTACGATTGCTTCAATAAATTGCTGCTTAAATATCAATTTATGATCGAGCGTATGAATTTCTTTCGAATTAAGTTGATCGGCTGAAGTAGGTTTTGTGGTATATGAATTAATTTATTCGTGCCTATGATATCCTACGCAGTCAGTTGATCGCAAGGACATGCGACATTATTGCAGTCATTTTCTTTCAGATATGGACAAACAATTTCTGTAGCTAGCAGTATAATAAATGAACTAATAATATAGAGAATCACGATAGTTTCAAGGAATAAATTCAAAGTTACCTTATCGAATTTATTCGGACTCCTGATGGCATTAATTCGCGATGAGCTACTAAATAATTAATTACGTATCGGATTAATACCCAATAAATAATTATGTCTTAATCTCAATATTAGACTGGCTATTAATGAGATTAATTCCTAAAGCTTATTTAAGCTTCCATATCTGCGCGCCAGCCTCGGGGTGCAGTGATGAGAGGATGTGCTCGTTATATCGGTACGAAGGGGGAAAATGTGCGATAAAATGGTGAATTATTGTAATTTAACAATAACTATTCTAATTAATCAATTATTCTCATTCAACAGATGAAGTAAAAAACTTTTCAAGTCTCGCATAATGAGGACAGGAAGCCATTTTATTGTTCCCTCGGCACTAAGCATTCGCGACTTGCGACTCATTTTGGATCGTCCATTCAATTATGCAGCTCATCGAGACCGCGGACCATTATGCGCTTTGCTGACAAAGAGAAATTAACGATCGAAAAAAACGGTACAGGCATCAGCACGCGGCAGGAAAATGTAGTCAGCATAACAAAAGTTAGCATGCATCAGAATAAAAGATGCAAAAAGCGTCACAGAAGTAAGAATGTGACAGAAATGAACGATGGAAAAGCGTCACAAATATCATGGCGAGACGGGAAAAAACGATGTACAAAGAGCGTCACAGGATGCGTCAAAACTAAGTCGGAAAATATGACGGATATAAACGATGGAAGAGGCATTACTAAAATCAAGTACGATGGAAATAAAACAATAAAAAGAAGTTCACAAAAATCGGTATGTGACAGATCTCAATGTGAATCATGTACGTGGTTTTATCGCCGGTCATTTGGGTTATGAAGCCTGAATACCCAGGCAAAAATAAATCTCGAAACGGAGAAAATTTTGAGGACTTTAGACTTTAATATTTTTGACTGGACTGTGAGGATGGAGGCTATATGTGTAATTTATTTCAGACAATGAGAACATATTTTAGTTACTGGATGCACAATTGTGAATGTTGAGAACCACAACGTTGTAAAAGGTTGACTCGTCTGTAATAAAAACAGTTGCAATCACGTAGTCCCAAATTAACGTTACACGATGTTATACTAACTACTTTCATATGTATATTATATATTATAACATTACATTACTTAAAATAGTCTTAATCATAAATTTCTCTGTAAAAGTACTATAGAGCAATGTTATCGGATTTAAACTTTGGTCGGTATTAGTGCGAGAGCTGAAGAGACGGCGGCGCATCAATGAGGCGGACAGCTGAGGATCAACGAGAAAACTTATGGCGCTGGAGGAGCAGAGAGGCGGGCGCTTAGGTTATTAAAAAACTTTGTTAACACGAGGCATTAGATTTAAGGGGAATGAAGGCCGCTTAAAATCAATGGCGGTGGCAAGGAAACATCGTTAGGGCTTGACATCGTCGTGGCTGATGGCGTCGCGTGTCCCGCTGAAGCGACCTGCGCTCGATCAACCTGCACTCAGTTCGTACTGATGAAGCGACCTGCGCTCGATCAACCTGCACTCAGTTCGTACTAATGAAGCGACCTGCGCTCGATCAACCTGCACTCAGTTCGTACTGATGAAGCGACCTGCGCTCGATCAACCTGCACTCAGTTCGTACTGCTGAAGCGACCTGCACTCGATCAACCTGCACTCAGTTCGTACTGCTGAAGCGACCTACGCTCGATCAACCTGCACTCAGTTCGTGCTGATGAAGCGACCTGCGCTCGATCAACCTGCATTCAGTTCGTACTGATGAAGCGACCTGCGCACCTGCGCTAGGCCTACATGACCAAGTATTCATTGCCACAGCTGCTGCAATGCAATGCCAGTTGGTATAACCAAATTATTAGTCTTTGTCGTTTTTATGTTCGTTTGTCTTTATCCGCTATTTTTGCTTTCACAGCAAATGAATATTTAACGCAATTTCTGTTGAATGCTACAGCAAGGAACCTTCGTTGATTTAGCGACACATTTTATCTCAGCAGCGAGGAATTTTCAACGGCTTTCAATGCACAGGAGGGGCCTTTTGAAATTCATTTTGATTGACAGTTTGCTCGCTTCAAGAATACTTGAGCAACAAGCTTGGAAATAGGATTTATTTGAAGAGTTCACTAAGTCGTAACGAAAATTCAAGCAAGATATATACTTAATATTTTTTTTTATATAGATTGATTCTGTGGAAATCCATGAATACTTAAAACGAAAAAGTTTTAAAGGCAAAACTTTTTCGTATAACTTGCCACAACACTGAAGTTCACATAAAGTGATTGGATGCACCGAGAACTTCACGAACTTGTAAAGCTTCAACTAAAGTCTCGTAAGCACGTAATAAAGTTACGATAAGAAAAGTACCAAAAACAACGACTTTGTTTTCTAAGGGCAAAAACGCTCGTCTAAAATCAGTTCATGGATAGAAGTGTGAATGACGCAGTGTCTGGAGCGGCAACCACTTAAATGGTTCATGTAGAGTGCATATTAGTGCAAGAGGTTAACTTAAATTCAAATGATAATTAATAATCAGCTCGGAATTTCATGGCTGAGAGAGAATCCCTATGTTAATAAACAAGTGACGGGATATCGCGTTGAAATATTAGCAGATATGGCATAGAGTTGCTTGGCACGACACTAAAGGCTTGTTATTGTTATTCTCCACAAAATACTTTACTATAATGTTATGCGGTCATCCACTTATATCAAATCAAAAATTAATCCCTTTCATCGCTCTCACAAATTTACAAGAAGTTAATTAATCATTTCAGTTCCAATTTATATTTAAAATTTAAAGTCCATCCAATGAAATTCTCAATACAATTATAAAAGTCTATTGAATGAAATTCTCCATAGAAAATATAGACCTACTCGTTAACATAATCAAGTTAATTAGTAGGATTACGTCCAGAAACGTAGAAGCAACGATGCCGCTTTGGGATCAATTTTATTTGCATTACATTTAAATTAAAATGATTGAATTAACGCTCAATATTACCGTTATTGTGAAAGCCAAACAGAATAAACAGCTTTTGAAGTGGGCCTAAGACATTAGAGCACGCCTAATTATCGTTTATTAATACTAATAAATTTAAATTATAAATTTTGATTTGAATGATTTTGAAATAAATTGTACTGTATTAAAAATGTATTAAAGGAAAAACTACTCACATATTGCAAGGAGCACTGGGCGACCTGTGGACGCCTGACGACGTATGCCTGTCAAAACACAAACAAACTCATCACTTGCACGATAACTGAAACTTTTATTAATTTTTCTGAAATGTGCTTTGTTAAAACAAATAATGAATAAACTGAATATCGGCACGAAATTACTTCGATTTATTTCTTGCGTCAGCAGGCGCTGTTTATGCTAATTTTTTTTACACATGCAAATATCGAAAATATTATTGAATCGAACACAAATTTACAAGAATCGAAAATATTATTGAAGGGATGTTTAGATTGAAGTTAACCGCGTCAGGTTAACCTGTCTTCATATATTCTACCTATATATATATTCCTCACAGGAATAATAAATCAGAATAAAAAGTTCTCGACTCCAGTAAACTAAAAAAATATAACGCAGTACTCACTGCAGTGAGTGACAGAGAGCGCATTTTCTCGTCGACGAAAACGTGAAGTCACGGACGGACAGACAGACGGACAGACAGACGAACAGACGGACGGACAGACGGACATGGCGAGCACAATAGTTCATTTTTTTATAAATGAGAAAATGCACTAAAAAGATGAGCAATAACATTACGTTAAAAAATCTGTAGACGACGGACAAACTACCGATGCATCTTCTTTCAACGGCGAGTTGAGTGAATTTTATGCTCAATTTTCAGAAAACTTGAGCGGCTCGTAAATTTGAAACTTTAAGGAGGACAAACTCGACCGTCGACTCTTCTTTGCGCACAAAGTTTTGGTGCGCAAGAAAGTAGCGTTGCGAACAATACATTTCGTGGCCTGCCAGCCTCCTTAAAACTTTGGTCAGGTGTTACCGCCATCTTCTTTTTCTTCACCTTATTCAAAATACATGGAAAATTCAGAGCGTCGATGCGTGCTGGTTTGCAAGCGACGTCTGCGAACGCTGCTGGACGCCCGAAAGTTAGGCCATCACTTGACTGCTGGCCATGGTCATACGCTCGACGCGTTCCTTTATTTTAAGTTCGTTGGAATACATTAAATATCTTGCACATGCGTAATGTTTTGGATAAAAAAATGAATGTGAACTCAAACTTATCGATTTCATTCCAAGGTGGCAATATTCAGCCCAATGCGGAGCATCCACAAAGGTTAGGCAAAGATCAATCACAATTAAAAATATTTTTTGAACGACAACTTCAGTTGTCGTTCACGCATGAGAGTTTATAAGTATTTGCCCAGTAACTTCGGTGCACCAAAATTACCGAAATATTTAAACAACATCGAAAATACCCGAGTATAAACTTAAACCTGGAGTGGATGCTTCTTGGCTGTTGCTAATTAGGTAGTTATATCATTAGTCTGCTTATATCGCAAGTTCACAAGGAATTTAAAAGCAAAGAAAACGCCAAGAAAATTCACCATATCGATATTGAAAACGTTTCGGAGTCCAGCTCCATCATCAGTTCGACTAAACTATCGATATAATGTTAGGTCTTGTTTAGGTTTTATGTCTGTCTTTGAATTTTGACTTTTAAAGTGATTTTATTCATTTTTAGTTTAGTCGAACTGATGATGGAGCTGGACTCCGAAACGTTTTCAATATCGATATGGTGAATTTTCTTGGCGTTTTCTTTGCTTTTAAATTCCTTTTTAATTAGGTAGAATATGCTCGCGTACTCGACAAGTTTCGACGAGTGATTTTCCGTGGATTGGTCGAGGATGCGAATGTAATTGTAAGCCTAGGGTCAAAGGCCTCGAGAAGTTGACGTAACAAAGACGATACAAACTTGGACTACTGGCTATGAAGTTATAGGGCTTGCTGAAACACTGTTTTTGCTGAAAAGGATGTATAGTAGAGAACGGTGTAAGATGGAATGAAAAGTCATCGTTGGAGAAGCGTTACCATCCGGAACAAACGTGATTTTAATGCAATACAATATTCTGTGTCAAAATTGATGCGGTAGAGGACGTAATATGGTTGCAGCATGTGGAACTGCTCATGAAAAATACAGAATACTAGAATATTATGAAATTTCCATGGATAAAGAACCATCATGTCGATCTAAACAATAAGTTCACTGCAAATGATCTAGTTTACTGCCTTCATTTCGACACTCAATTATTTGTTACAAATTCAGTGACTGTTGGCAGGACAGCTTACACGCATACCTACCCGTTAACAAGTGATATTATCCATATTCTCGACTCCCCCTAACCGCCATATTGAAATCCGACTTGTCTAAATCTGTTCCCCCCAAAAAACAAACAAAATAAAACACCAAAAATGTGGGCCTAAAATTGAATTTAAGGCCACAAAGGAACACAAAAATGCAGACTCTGTGGCATAAAAAGGCACGTGATGGAATCTCAGGCCGGCGGGTAAAGTTGAATTACCATTCATGGATGCGGGCGAAGAATCGACGATGCGGCACATCGTTGACGGGTCCAAGACTCGGTATTGTGGATACGCGACGCACCAAAATGTTCTATATACGACGACGGTATTGTGGATATGCGACGCACCAAAATTTTCTATATACGACGACGGTATTGTGGATACGCGACGCACCAAAATGTTCTATATACGACGACGGTATTGTGGATACGCGACGCACCAAAATGTTCTATATACGACGACGGTATTGTGGATACGCGACGCACCAAAATGAACGGATATTAAGACGGAAAAAATCTGGAGCTGGAATTACTTGCTGTGGCCGAGGACGCATCGCAGGCCAGTAGATAAGTTTAATGTGTTATATGTGTGTAATGTGGTATAAATTATGTGTTATAAGCAAGGGCTGTGTAAAATATGTAATAAATCCCACTCCAGTGATAACTTTAACATTCATTAGTTTCATTCTAACCCGTGTTTCCCTACAGTGTTATGGTATGTCGGTATAAAAGTAATTTTCAGAACACGCTGTTAATTTAAGTAAACTATACAATTTTTATTTCACAAGCCTACCTTGGAAGTTCCTATTAATTCAAGGAGTCCTGCCGGTCACAAGAACTACTCCATGTAATATGAATATCAAGTTCTTTCACCGCTCGTCACAAGCAGCAAGCTCAAGCCAACCTCAAAGACACGCAAATTTCGTCTAGAAAATACGTTAGGCTCTAGCAGCACGTCTAGTCATTATAGAGACGGACGTCTAGAGATGCTCGGCCAGGGCTCAGTGGGATTAAAAGCTCAGAGGCACAGAGACCAGTCGAGTCAGAGAGCCGCAGAGACCAGCCAAGATTGTTGGCAAGTATCGTTCAATTAGCCAGAAAGAGAATCCCTTGGAAGGAAGCTTTCAGGAGTCCCGGATGAATCTTTTAGCGACCGCCCAATTTCACTTCGTAACGTTTCAATCGCGCAGCGTTTCTGCGTTCAACTCCAGATAGACTACTTTACTTCAGTACAAAAAAAATTTCCTTTGGTGCAGAGTAACTTAGTAGAACTTGAGAACCTCAGATCAAACTTACTGCAGAATAGGAAGCTATTTCTTCAAGTGGCCGTTTTCCTTGCCAGCCTCAGTTAGAGAGGAGGGATTGGTTCAAAAGTTGAAAGAGTTTTGCAGTGAAGACCGTAGCGCTCAAGACGCTCTAGCTGTCCAACTTTTTTTTCGATGGCCCCTGAAGTTTTCAGAGATTGGGCGATGTATTAATTGTCAATCAAGTTCCTATATAATAGATCTTCAACAAATCGTGAACTGCATGCTTATATGAAACTCAGTGATGTGGGGCAATTATCTCATTGTTCATTTCTTGCTTTAGCCTTACAATTCTTGTAATTAAGTTCCGATGGTTGTTTTTTTTTGAGATTCTCGAATTTTCTAATGCTAAATGATAATGAAATATTGGTGTAGAGTTTTATTTCAATAGATAAAGATCCTGGTAGGGCAAAAATATTCTTAACTTCACCTAAAATTCAAGGAATTTCAACGAAGAAGGCCATAAAAACCGACAAAAATTTGTGGACAATTTTTTTAACACGAATGGAAAGAAATTTTAAAAGTTTCTCTACATGTTATGTATAAAAAACGGCTTTCAGTCCGCTTTGTGAATGCGAAATTCAAAGGCGTATATGCATGTCAGATTTCATATCACGTAGCAATATTTTCTTTACATAATCTGCCCCGTACAACTCTTCAATAGATCAAAAGCCAAGTTTGTGGTACCCTTTCAACTCTCGCTTTGAAGAGAACCAAAAATAAACACGATGCCTATTTCTCCCGTGTTGCTCAACGATTACTTTGCGCACCAAGAAATCCCTAAGGAAATTGCGTTCACTGTTTTCTGCTACACGACTCAGCGCAGACGTTGATATTCTGAATGATTATAAGATTATTACAGTGAAATGTAAGCGGCTAGGCTTCACACGATAGGAAACTTTCTTCTGATGACCGCCATTACAACAAACGAAGTATCGTTTAAAGTTTTAATTGGTATATTTTGATATTGAGATACCGTTTACAAGCTATAAGGAAAAATATAATTTCCTTGGAATTAATTTTTGAGCAAACTAATAAAAAATTAATGTTTTTTTTTTCAGGAGGGGGTTTCCTCTGATCCCACAAGCCAGCCGACGAGGCTTTGATATCGGACTCTAATTATGCTTATGAGATTAAAGAAAATCGATGTTGAAGAAAAAGTGAATTTGAGCAGATGTTTTTCTTTCATCAATAGTTTCAAAAAAAATTTCGTTGGAGGTGATGTTTTTGAAACGTGTACATCATTAAATACCATCGTCACTGCTAATTTACATTCTATCAATTTCTATGGCACGCGAATAGAAACAAGGGGACATTAATCCTGAATTCATTTTAGATTCGTTAATTGCCTTCAGCTGCAGAAGACGAAGTCCAAAGAAAAAACGAATCTTCAGGAAGAAAATCGTGCATTTTGGAAGCTCTTATTTGCTATCCTGAAAATGGGAAGACGGGAGACCAAAGCTTTACGCCAAAGACAAAGGCAATTTATGAACATCGTAGCAAATGGCGGATGGCGAGGCGTCGTCTGATAACGTCTACTAAATTGAGGGCCATTGCGGAGTGGCAGCGAAATAAACGGCGATG